AATTTAGGGCTCAGGTTCGTTTGGGAGGAGGGTGTTGGAAGGGGGAGAAATGGCGTTTTAACAGCCTGAAATCGCGTCCATCGTGGGCAATGTTGACGCCGTCGACTGCCACGTCGGCGACCGTGAAGCCACGTCGGACGGTTTGAAACGGCGAGGCTGGAGGGTGATGGATGGAGGGATTGGCTTGTAAGTTCAGTGACCTGTGAGAGGGAAAGTGAAGTTGAATGATCAGAACATGGTGAAGTTATAAGTTCAGTGACCAATGAAAGTTTTTACTCGTGATATTTTGTCTGAGATTACTGTCATTGTCCTTTTACCTTTCTCTATACGCTACTCACTCACTCTCTCTCTCACTCATTCGATTTCTCTGGATACTTCTCTTCCTCCTCTTTCTCTCACGATGTATTTCCTCCCTGTCGAAACCTTAGCGAAGTCGTCCGATTCAAGTTTCTTGCTATGTTGTAAAATCACCAGAATATCGGAGATCCGTTGGGTTTTCCTTCTCTGCGACCCATTTGTTGTGTTTCGTTGTTACGTGGTTTTGCCCTCCCGGATCTTGAATTCGGTTTGTTGCACAAGTTGTCTGATTCAAGTTTTTTTTTAAAAATGTTGTAAAATCGGCGACCTTCGATTTCTCTGGATACTTCTCTTCATCCTCTTTCTCTGACGATGTGTTTCCTCCCTGTCGAAACCCTAGCGAAGTCGTCCGATTCAAGTTTCTTGCTATGTTGTAAAATCACCAAAATATCGGAGATCCGTTCGATTTTCCTTCTCTGCGACCCATTTGTTGTGTTTTGTTGTTACGTAGTTTTGCCCTTCCGGATCTTGAATTCGATTTGTTGCACAAGTTGTCTGATTCAAGTTTTTTTTTAGAATGTCGTAAAATCGGCGACCTACCTGAGATTCGTTGGGTCGTTCTCGACGACCGATTCCTTGTGTTTCGTTTTTACTCATTTTTACCCTTTTTCGGCCCTCTTTCCGATCTACTGTAATACAACGGGGGTTTTGTTCTGTTCTTCGGTGACATCGCTGTGGACTTTGTTCCATTCTTTATCATCTCTCATTTTTGAAATTTCAGAGGGATTTCCATTCTCAAGGAAGGTACGTTTATTGAAGCTTTATTTGTTGGGTTCTTCTCCTCTACGATCGATTTGTTTTGTTTCATTTTAACTCATGTCTACCTTTTCGAATCATCTTTTTGATTTGCTGCAAA